ACGTATTTTTTATGCTGTCTTTGACTGAGCTCTGTAAAATAGGACTTGTACATTTACATGTATTGCCTGAAATGATTCAACACTAGTAAAATCGGCAAAAGTTAGGTTTAGCTCGCCTCATATCATGTTGGTTGACTGAGTACATCTTCTGAGGTCACCGTGGGGTCCACATCTTATAGGAGCAATAAACAACGCGGTTTTGTCGTCGTGATATACAGAGCCATTTGGTGGGTGGTGGGGGGGGGGGACTCCTTCACATCTTCACATTTACCACAGACAGATTCAGATGTTTTGGCCATGCTTTGAAGCCAAAAAACTAGCTAGTATCGTCGTAGAATTTTCATGAAAAGGAACATTGCTTTGCCTTGAATTTGAAAACCCGAGCGAAAGCAATGTATTTAATTGTATTTTGCCGTTTCATTCTCTTCCATTCCCCAGGCTCTGACGCGCTGATCATGCGTAACACTCGACTGGTCATCTTGACTGACCGCGGCTTCTCCAACGTGACGGAAGACGCCCGTCCAGTTTTCCAGACCGTGCTCGTCTACGACCTCAAACTCAAGAAGTACGTCCGAAAACTCCCCGGCTGTTACATTGTTCCAGCGCCCTCCCATGAGTACGTTCTTCTTGACAACGACAGTCTCCTCGGCCCTTCCGACAACCGTTCTCACTTCATCATCTGGAATCTCGTGACGGGCCATGCTAGCTCCAGGATAAAGACGGGCTTCAGAGAGTTGGAGAGGAGGAGAATGGAACAAGGGATCCAAATCACGGACGTGCCTTTAAAGGTCAAGAGAAAGACGTCAGCTCAGATGACGCCATGGGACAGACGCTCAGAGTCCAAGCAAGTATCGAGTCACGACACCTGTGTGATTAGGCCGGCTAACCCATTAAATGTCCCTCCCAAAATTTTGTTTCACAAATCGATGGTAACCTTTCTTATTCATATGCCCATTTAATGTATGCTTTAATTTTGACTACACATAGTCCCATAACGCCGAACAATATTAAAGTAACAGTACTAAAGCCAATCAACTTGACCGCCGCCATGTTGCTGCCTGATGAAACAAAGTATTTTGTTTCACCTCTAAAATTTACTCCACTGTGGTTAGCCGGTCTTACTACGAGGGTGACCTAGTTAGTAAGGTACTGTACGGTATGGGTTTTACCCCCCTTCAGACTAAATGGGTTTAAAGAGGCACTAGGTACAGCTGAAGTGAAAATGTTTGTTTGGGCTCTAAACTAAGTATACTGGGATTCCCAATAACCAGGAACAGAAACACACTATCTCTATAAGATTTCACTACCAATTTTTTAAATTCTTTTCACTCAATTCTATGCAGCGCATGTATTCTGACAAAGATTGAATTGATACAGCCTTGATATTTTCACCTAGTGTTTCTTTATATACAACCTGCAACGTACTAAAGATTTACTTTCCTAAGTCTCATATTTTCTTGTAACTGCCCTTTTAGTGTCATGTACGATACTCGGACAAAAAATTGAACACAAATCAAAGTAATACAGTCAATCTTTTTGTACACTGACAAAAAACTTATTACAATATCACCATGATCTTTTAGTACGTTGCAAACACATCATCTAGAAACGGTCATGCAAAATGGAATTGAGCTGTGACATGTAATTTCAGAAATATCTCTGCATAGGTGATCCACTCCCCTAAAAAAATCATAGTTTTTTTTATAGAAAACGGGGAAAAAAAAAACGAATTCATACTGGTCTATTTCAAAACAATGTTGAAAAAACAGGGCCTATATGAGAACTTTGTAGATGTTTTAGACTCTTGAAAACATTTCCAATTGATAAAGCAGATGTTGCTGTACTAACTTACTTACTTACTTACTACCCATTAGGCCATCTGGCGTTCAGGGCAGCAACAAAGGATCTCCAGCTCTGTCTGTTTTGGGCCATCTTGGTCAGCGTTCCACACGAATGATTCCAGGACTTCATTTCAGACTCTACTATACGTCTTCAGGTCACTTTGGGTCTGCCCCTTTTGCGACGTTCTTCGGGTGTCCAGTGGAGGGCAGTCTTCACAATAGAGTCTGGTTCTCTTCTCAGAACATGTCCAATCCATCTCCATCTTCTCCTTTTTATTTTGGTGGTCATGTCCTCTTGTCTACATTTACGTAACAGATCTGCGTTGGAAATCTTGTCGGGCCAGAAGATTCTGAGGATTTGACGTAAGCTGGTTTCATGAAAGGAAGATAGCTTGGCACGGTCATGATCAGTCATCCTCCAGCATTCAGCTCCATATAGGAATGTGGATAGTACACAGCTGTTATACAGCTTTAACTTGTTTTGTATACTAAACTGTCCTGACTTCCAGATGTTGATCATGCTTCTGGGTACATATCTTGCCTTGCTGAGTCTGTTCATGATGTCTACCTTTGTGCCGTCATCAGTTTTGATTACGCTGCCTAGGTAGGTAAATGTATCTGTTATTGGGAGGTCTGTGTTGTTCACCCTAATCAGCGTTGGGGAGCCTACATTCAATGTCATCACTTTTGTTTTCTTCTGGCTTATTCTTAACCCAATCTGGTGTCCGTATTTGTGGAGTCAGTTTGTTTTTTCCTGCATGTGCTGGTTGGTATGGGAAAGCAGTGCAAGGTCGTCGGCAAAGTCAAGATCCTCGAGGGTGGAGAAGAGGGTCCACCTTACGCCTCTTGATGTATCCTCTGTTGTTTTCCTCAAGACCCAGTCAATGACCAGGTTGAACAGAATTGCTGACATGTTGCATCCTTGTCTAACTCCTGTCTTTACCTCAAAAGCAGTGGCACTGTTTCCAACAACGCACTTGAAGTTTTGGTAGAAGCTCTTGATGACCTATACTATCTTGCAAGGGATTCCATAAGATCGTAGAATATACCAAAGACTTTCTCTATGCACACTGTCGAATGCTTTTTCAAAATCAAGGAAGTTGACATAAAGTTGTCTATACCATTCTGTGCACTGTTCTATTATGTTGCGGAGGGCAAATATCTGATCTGTACATCTTCTTTCTTTGCGGAATCCTGCCAGTTCTTTTCTTAAGCAGCTGTTCCCGGCATCGAACATCCGGTTAATAATAATCTTGGCCAGGATATTGCTGGGAACTGACAGCAACGTGATACCTCTTCAGTTGTGGCAGTCTCTAAGAGCTCCTTTCTTTGGTACTTTAACAATGGCTCCAGTGCTCCAGTCCTCGGGAATCTGCTCTCCCTCCCATATGGTTTTGAATAGTGGCTGAAGAATGGTGGCAGTCAGTTCTGGGTCAACTTTAAACAATTCAGCATTCAGGTTGTCCATTCCTGGAGATTTTCTTGATTCCAGGCTCTTAACAGCTTTCACAATCTCGTGTTTCTGTAGTGGATCAGAGCTGATATCCAGATCCAATGTAGCTTCCTGTATGTCTGGGGTGTCCACAGGTGGAGGTTGGTTTAGGACTTCCCTGAAGTATTCTGTCTTGCGTGCTTCTTGTTCCTTCTCGATTGTCAGCAGCTTGCCAACCTTGTCTTTGATTGGTCCACTCATTCCACCGTTGAACTTGCCCCATATTATTCTTGTGATCTTGTATACGTTGCCTTGTTCACCTTTAGCAGCTGCCTCCTCTGCCTCAGTTGCCAACTTTTCCATGGCTTCTCTTTTGTCCTTTCTGACCAGTCTTTTAACTTTCTGGCAAGCTTCCTTGTAATCCTCTGCCTACTTCTCTTGTAGCCGTATCGACTTAGCTGCAAGCCCTGTCTTTTCTTGATTTCTCTCCGCTCTACTAAAATAGTCCAAAATCGACTTTTTCTGGCTGTTGGATACTGCTGTGGTGTACCTTAAGTAGAAGACCTGTGCCGACATTAGAAGTGAGGTTTTGTATGGTATGAGGTTGGGTCTATGGAATGACAGCGAGAGTATAAGTTAATTGTTGTCTCTTTTTTCTAATTTGCTTAACAGATCTGCCCGGCGTCGTCGACAAGAACTGGAAACGGAGAAAGAAAAACAGCGCTTAGAGGAGCTGAGGAAAGAAAAGGATAATGTTGTGGAGCAATTTCTCGTCAGCGGAGACCAGAAGACGATCGTGGCTGCTTTCTACGCCCACCACCTTTGCGTCTTCGACATCCCCTCACAGTTGCACACCCAGACTCTTCAGACGGAATACTCCATGATGTTTCTGCACACTGCAGCCTTGACTCACGACGGCGGCCATCTTGTAATCGCTAACTATGACGAAGACAGCAAGATCAGCTATGTCACGCTATGGGACTGCACCACTGGGGAAGTAAAGAGGAGGTTAAAAAAGGAGACAAATGTGAGTGCTTTGGCCATCACTGATGACGCTCAGAGAGTCATCATTGGCCGGAGCCCTAATGAGCTACATGTATGGGATCCAATGAAAAATAACTCTCTCAGACGAATCCGGGGATACGAAGACTTGCGTTTTGAAATGAACTCAAAAATCTTTATCGTTGACGATGGTCAAAAAGCTGTTGTCTTCGCTGGAGATATCTCAATGTGGGACATCGAGAAAGGTACGGTCTTGTCTGTGTTCAGTCCTGACACACGCATCATGACGTGTAATGTAGTCCTGAACGGTCAGCTCATTGTGTTTGGCTTGTACGACAAACCGGAGCTGGTCATCTTGAAGCTGACAGGAGACAGGCTGAAGCCTTTAGAAGATACCGAAGGAGTTAATCTGTTCGGTGAAACAAATGATGAAACTACAGATGACGATGAAGATGAGGATGAAGAAGACTGATTGACGTCTAAAAACATGGTACACTCTGTACAGACAACGAATGTTTTATGGAGTGATAGAACATAACATTTCCAGGAATTATAAGTTGAGCGTGATTGCATGACTGTTCTTAACTAATTATTTCCCAATCTCTCTCTCTCTCTCTCTCTCTCTCTCTCTCTCTCTCTCTCTCTCTCTCTCTCTCTCTCTCTCTCTCTCTCTCTGTCTCTCTCTCTCTCTCTCTTAAGTATCATGCACGTGTATAATATACAAT